GACTATCGAAAATCAAAGAAAGGTGGAGTTTCACGTGTGCTGGATCCCAACCAAGGGTCATACAAATCTTACTAATCAATCCTCATATGACAACCTTTCTTCGACAAACAAACCATCATCCGGCATATTCGAAAAGTGTTGATGCTACCGTTCTCTATCACATACTTACTTGTATGATACAAATTAAGCATGTATGATACATTACGTGCCATTGATAATCGTTAAAAAAACATCAATAACTAATCATTTCTTAATAACAAAATCAACAAAATACACCATACATTCTCTAAAATACACCATACACCATACACCATACATACTCCAACAAATACACCATACTAAAATACTTATAAATCAACTTTGATATCTCATGAACAACTATGATTTCTCATCTCTAACCTCAAAATCAACACCTAAAACATCCAAACAACCAACCAACATAAACCCTAATCTATCATACATCATTCTAACAATCAAAATAACACAAAAATAAACTAAATAACATGGTTTTGCAATCTAACCTCTTTCAAATAACGATTTCCACGTATCTAGAGGCAAGAATGCATCAAAACTTCAATTCGCCCTTGTTTGAGCCGCAAAAACAGAAAATCCAACTCGGTTCTCGAATGAGAACCGCCTGAAATTTTTTTCTTTTATAGCACGTTAAACTCGGATTTACGAAATCCGAGTCCGTAAGTAACTCGATTTTCAAATCCGAATCGTGTTAGATTCGGATTTCATAAATCCGAGTTTAGTCAATTCAGATTATTTTATTAATTTGTTGTTCCTCCAATTTAAGGCACATGCCTACTTCCACCAACCAAAATTAAAGTCATCCGGATTTCTAAAATCCGAATTCGTTAAACCGGATTACGGACTTCCGGTTTTTTGGGTTCAAAAATTTCGCGCCGCGATTTATTAATTTTTAACTAAACTCGGATTCTACAAATCCGAGCTTTACTGTTCACTAAAGAACTAAAAAAACTATTATTCAACAAAATTTATGAAATTATTATTTTATTATTAAGTATGGATTCGGATTTACAAAATCCGAATCTCTAATATTAATCAACACTCGGATTTCAGAAATCCGAGCAATATATTTCTGTCCACAGATATTCTGAAAAATTTAATTTTGTCCACGTTTATTTTATTTAATTTTTTTTGGGAAAAAGCCCCGAAATTGTAAGACCATAAAAAATTGGCCCATCTACTCAAAACTTTACATGCATTGTCAATTCTATCTTATTCTTTTTCGGTTAATCAATATTACTCTAAATTATCTAGCCGTTAGCCGATTTTGTCCAATTTGTTAATTTCCATCTAAATAAAAGGAATTTTATTTGTTTTAATTATAAAAATACCCTAATAATTTTAAAATTTTATAAAAATGACCCCAAAAACTTACAAAAATTACAAAAGTCTCTTTTCAATTTTTATTTAAATTTATCTGTTTTTTATTTCCTTTTACTATTTTTCATACCTATAAAACTATACTATATGATATTTTTAAAAAATATTTATTTTTTAACTCTAATGTACAAATTTTTAATTACATATTTGTAAGTCATGTTTGATTTACATAAGCAGATTAATTTTTTAATAATATGGTTTAACAGTAATGATACTATTTTTTTAATTCATTTTTTTCAATCTAAAGAATAAGATTCTTTAACTAATACTAATTTTTCACAAAAAAAAAAATAATTAGCATAGATTAAAAAAGAACCTATTGATATACTTTAATGCATTACAATTTCATCAACAGACTTTAGATTGTATTATAAAATTTAAAAATTAATCAAAACTTAAATAAAAATTTTCTTTGAAAGGCCAAGTACGAAGAGAAAGTAAAAAAAAAAATTACCTATTTCGTTTCTACATTGGCCCGACACAAGAATATAGCATCGTGGTATTTACAAAAATGGTACAAAATATTTTATAAAAAATATGTATATTATTACTGCAAGGGTTTAACATTTTGTGATAATGGTTTGAGATATTAATATATCTAACTTTAGCAGGAAGTCTTTTTCTTAAAAAATAAAATAAAAAAATCTATTCCAGTGGTCTCCACCTTTTTTTATATAAAAAAAATTAGCTTTCCTAGCCATATTAATGGATTGAAAATTAGATTGAAAAAATGGGTTAAAAAAATAATATCATTATTGTCTAGCCATATTATTAAAAAAATTAATATGTTTATGTAAATATAGTAGTGTTTAAAAATAATTTATTTATTTAAAAGATCATATAATATATTTTTATGGTTATGAAATATAGTAAAAAGAAATAAAAAACAAAAAAATTTAAATAAAACCTGAAAAGAGACTATTTTATAATTTTTGTAAATTTTTGGAGTCTTTTTTATAAATTTTTAAAATTATTAGGGTATTTTTGTAATTAAAAAATAGAATACCTTTAATTTAGATGGAAATTAGCAAATTAGACAAAATCGGCTAACAGTTGAATAGTTTAATATAATATTGGATAACCGAAAAAGAATAAAGTAAAATTAACAACTTATGTAAAATTTTGGATAAATCGGCCAATTTTATAAGTCCATAAGGACCATAACCAAATTTAGATGGAATAGTACAAGAGGCAAAATCATGTCCATTCATCACCGGAATTCTATTGGCCCCCTCTAAATCTAATTAAACATCATGTTTCAATAACGATCTTCATGGGCAGACGACCTACTCGGGGATCGGTGGTTCGAGACCCGTAGTCTGTCGGTAAATATTAGAATGTTTTCTCAGTGGAACTAAGTAGTTCTCCATGTTCTTAATATAAGACATTTTGATTTGTGCTAAATTTTATTTAATATATATTTTTCATATTCGTTACATTTTAGAAAATATTTTTAAATTTTTTTTATCAATTTAAAATGTGTATTAGTTGAAACCTAAGATAAATAATAATTATTTTATATTAACGACCAAAAGGAGTGTTTTCATATAGAGGCTATTCTACACTTAGATAATATAACTAAATACCGTAGTCCAGGAAAATATCTTTGAATTTTGACTCGCGCACGCACATAAAAAGAAATAAAATACTCCTTCCAGTCCTTAATATAAGCTATTTTGATTTCGTCCTAGGTTTCATCTAATATACATTTTTAATTTTTAATTTGTGAAAAAATTTAAAAAATATACTTTCGCATTCGTTATATTCTCTTGATTGTTCTAAAATATTTTTTAAGATTTTTTTGTCAATTAAAAATGCATACTCGATTAAACCTAAGATAAATTAAAATGTCTTATATTAAGGACCGGGGGAGTAGAAACGAACAAGATTCCGTGAGTGAACGTGCTCTAATGTACCATGTAGGCATGTACTATATAGCAGCCATGGAACACGTGCAACTTCCAGTTAATTTGCTAGCTGCAACAAACCTGTTATGAATGATTGTCTTTTGTCTCATTTTACCTCTTAAAATATTCTCAAACACAAAATTCAATACTACCTAAACAACTTTTTTATTTACTTTTTAAAATTTATCTCAAACATTATTTTTACATAATTTTTATTCATACCACCGGACCGCCGCCGCCGGACCTCCCATTGCCGCCGACCGACCAAATTTCGGCCGGATTCCGGCCAACTGTCACTGGCGGTCCATCGGCGGTGATGGGTGGTCCGACTACGGCGCCGGTGGTGGAGGTGGTTTGGTGTTGGTGTAAAAAATATTACCCAAACAATTTTTTAAATTTTTTCACAAACTACATTTTAAATTACATCTCAAACTCAAAACAAAAACTAAACCAAAAACTAAAACAAACCATTGTCTAAACAAGCCATAAAGCATCTGGTTTTGAGGGGGATAGAAAAAACATTGATTATAGTTAATTAGGGTCTGTTTGATAAAAATTAGTGCTTAATTCTGAATACTTAATGCCGAAATAAAAATGTCAAATGCTTAACTCTAAATGCTTAACTTTTAAATTTCAATTTCTGAAACAAAATGCTTAATGAACTATTCTTGTTTGATAAAAATATCGACATGAATGCTGAATTGTGTAAATTTTAACAATTTATCCCTTTATAATTTTTTAAAATTTCTTTATTGTAAATTTTTTTCCCTAACTATGCATTAATTATGTTCATTATTCATAAAATACATACTGTAAAATTATTATATATTGCAAAATGGCAAACTAAAATGCGCATGGTATTTTTCTTAATAAAATGAATGAGCCAAATTATAAAGTATAATTTTTGTATCTTTGAAAATAAATTAAAAGACAAAAAAACCAAACACATGTGTATGAAATAATTAAAATTTTTACGGGCGGAAACAACGAGACTTTATTTAATTAAAATGAACCATTAAAATATTTAAAAAATATTTAATTAGTGTGTTAAATAATAAAATATTTATAGGTAATGTTGGAATTCAATAATAAAGAATTTTAAAAAAAAAGATGGATGAAAGTAATAAACAATAAGCATTAAGCTAGATTTTACTGCTTAAAATTAGTACTGAAATTTCAGGAGTGCTTAATCAAATAAGTGAACCACTTTTTAGTTATCAAACATGCTTCTTCTAAAAATCACTTAAACTAATAATTTTAAGCAATAATTCAAGTTATCAAACAGGTCCAAAATCACTTAAACTAATAATTTTAAATAATAATTCAAGTTATCAAACAAGTACTTAATTTACACAGTACTTGATACAATTTGGCCCCAAAAATATTTCTAGGATGGGCTTTGCCTAAATTTGAATCTGTAATCCTCATCATCTCACCACAGTCCTCTGACGTCTCCCCCCAATTTCAGTTTGATCCAACAGATTTTTAAGAGTTATGAACTTATGGTTGAAGCAATTGAAAATACCTACCGATTCTCCCAGACCAGCGAAGTTGACTAAAGCATAGTGTGAAGGGACAAGCCATACATTCTTCAATTGTGGTTAAAGATAAATATAACATTTTTTTAGTTAACTAAAAGATACACTAACAAAATTTCCTTGAAGAATGTAAGAAAAACAATCATCCTGATATTTTCTTCTTAACGAACCGCTGCAAAGATATTGGTACTTCAGTTTCCTCGCTAATCCTCTTCCTCTTCTTCGATGATTCCTCTGCGACACCATGCTGCAAGAACGCTCTCTTTGCTTTCTCCACAGCTTCCTGTTTCTTCTTTGCTCTTTTACTTGGCTTATTCCTACCTTTTGTTTTCTTCTTCATCTTAATGTCTTTGGCAGCAGCAATTGCTGCTTCCATCTCTTCCTCCATCTCCTTCTTTGTTGGCTTTTCCTTCTTTCTTGCAGGCCTCACTGCTCCAATCTTTGTGGGATCTAACATGATTGCCTCGGGAGGTAGCTTATCAAGAAGAGCGTGTATTTCCTTCTCTCTCCTCTGCTTAGAGGTCTCGAATGGGTTTGCCACCCATGTATCAAAATTGGGCTCTCCGGAACCCGGAATCAAGATTGAAGTGTAACCCTTGGAGTGCCCCAAACACAAGACATCTTCATATGGCTGAAAGGCAACACGGCCTACCTGGAAACCTTTTGCCATGGTATGACTCATATAGCTTTCGTAACTGCTGGTTCCAGATTCAACTTTCCAAACTTCCACACACGATCCAGTTGCTCCTGCAAGCAACCCTTTTTGACTGAACTCCAATGTTTGGGCATGGCCATGCAATGTTTGAAGGACCTGAAACTTCCTCAAATCCCAAAGCTTAATCTTTCGCTCCATTCCAGCTGTTGCCATTAAATGGCCATTACTGTGAAATGCCATCGCACTGACGGGCCCTTGATGACACAGCATCTTGACCAGCGGAGCAGCAGTGGTTGGCTTCCACATGCTTACAGAGCCACGAGAGTGGCCTACTGCAACTACACCATTGAAGGGATTCACCTCCATAACATTTGAACGACCCTGACCAGTTCGAAGGTTGCCTACTATTTCACCTGTGGTAACATCTTGATAACGGAGCTGCCCAGATTTGTTAATGGTAGCAAGTAGGAAATGATTTTGCAGAAACTGAAGCTTTTCTACCGGACCATGTTCCTGTTATGTCGAACCAGCTAACACTCAGGTTCCTCCACTATCATATGTATCAGAACAGGAAATCACAAGACAAAGTGTAAGGGATGGTTGCTAACCTTCAGGCAGTGAAGTTCTATGCCATCTTGGTTGTATATATAAGGATATCTGTCAGATTGAGCACATCATTCAAAATGTGTACATATAAGGAAACACTTTACTTTAACCGCACAAATTATACAAAATCCAAAAACTACATCTATGAAGACTGTATTCTTTTTCCCACATGGACTTAGACATGAAACCCATAACAACATATTAGCATGCATGAAAAAGTTCTATGTAGAGTGAAACAAAGTTTTCAGAAAGATAGCATGATATAATGGCCATTCTCTACGTCTAATATTGAAAGTGAGGGGGTTATTCAACATTACTTCTTCTGGGCAGCAGCAAAAAACAATTCATTGTGCAGGAATACCACATCACGTACAGTTTCCCTCACCTGGAAAAACAAAATAAAACCATTATTTGTCTCTCTTTATAAGCTCTGTTAGAATGATTAAAAACAATTCGGCAAAGACAAAATTACTAATCCAGTATGCTATTTCTTCGCTTCAGATTAAACCACCAAAAAAAAGGGGGATAAAACTTAAGAGAAGCCACAAACACCTGAAAATCTCTGATAATGTGCATACTTTTCATGTCTAAAATTACAAAGTGGCCTTTGCGACCAGCTAGTGCCATGTAGTGGCCACTTGATGTAAAATCCAGCGAATAAGGTCCAAACTCTGAAAAGGTAAAAAAAGAAAAATAAAAACTAGCATTAAAGAGCTGTAGCTAACTCGTATAACGTGCAAATGATCAAACAGTGTGTTCCAGGAAAGAAACTACGGGATCAGTTCAACAAGATAATAGCAGACAATTCTTTGGATACTAAAGTTAAAATAATAGCTTAGCCACAAACAAAGGGAAAGTACAAGTTCTGTAATGTTACAGAGAATTTCTAAGATCTAATATCAACCTGGTAGGACTATATCATATTGCTTCTGTCTGCTTAGGATGTCCACGGCTTCGCCAAGGTCCTCCTGCAAGACCCTCTTTGTTTTCTCTAGGCCTTCAGCTATTAAATATCCCCCTCCACCTGGCATGAGCCACTGTTGGAAAATGCATACACTAGCTTAGTCTACTCAAAAGACCATGATATTCTTTTTTCTCTATTTAATTACGGGGAAAGGCAAAATCAAATCCCTCTGCATAAACCATCAAGGATGCCCACTCCAACCAATAAATAAATATTTGACACTTATGTGGACCGTCCTTTCTCTTTTGTGAAAGGCAAATAAATATTTCACTTCTTTTTTTTTTCCCCATTCTTCTAATCCTACATACATAGTATCGGTGTAATCTAACCTATCAATTACATGAAACAGATATAGATAATGTCCCAGAACAGAAATCAGAACTGCGAGAAATTTTACCTTCTCAATTAAAGCAGCAGCTTTTGCAGACTTTTTATTTAAATCTTCTCTAACACGAAGCTGACCTTTTAACTTCTTATCTCGCAAAGCCTGTGCAAATCATACAACAGTGTAAGTGATACAAAGAAACATACGTTAAAGCTTTCATAACAAAAGGAAACATGTTAAAGCTTTTACAGTGAACAACATACCTCCAAATTGATACCATCACCTCTTTGGTACTTCTTTACTATCAAATCCTCATCGTCTTCACCCTGCAAAGCAGATAAAAACTTGCACATCACAGGCAGCTAAAAGACAAACTCAAGACTATTCCTATTTGATTTAAAGATGACCTCAAGGGTTCGCTATATCGTATTCCTGTAAACAGCCCAACTCAGTGGTCAAGACCATCGCCGTGGAATGATAGATATTAAGATCAAACAAGGAGCTTAAGCAGGAACAGAAGAGTTGGCTATTGGGTACAAGGAAAGCAATCATACCATGCTAATCAGCCCAAGCACGAAAAATGCAACATCATTGATTTTCTATCAAAATTTTAACTAAGAGCCTCCCTTCCCCGTATAACACAGTACCATAGTGCTTCCCTTCCCCGTATAGAATTGTAAAAACGGTAATGAAAAGCATACCCGCTGTATAGCAGCCAAATCATTTTCTTCTTTCGGCCCCATTGCTTCCAAAGCAAAACTCAAGATTATCTTACAAGCTGTTAATATTACAAAAAACACATAGTTAGAAATTCATAAATTAACCAATTTGAGAAAGAGGATTTTACATAGCTGGTGTAAACCTTTTTTTAATCTGGTACAAAACGGTGCAGCAATTTCTTAAAAACTGCCGCAGAATATACTCAATTCGTAGGAGGTAGAAGCTCCGCCGCCCTAATACTGGTGGTGCCGGAAACGGGGAGCGGTGTTTGGTGGCGGACTAGGTTGATACGGAGCTAGGCAGGTGATGGTGGCTCCGGGAGGTGTAAGAGTAGGGTTTAAGCGGAAAAAAAAAAGAATAAAGCGAATTATGATGAAACTGTTTTTTGTTTTTTTCTTGGCCCGTTCCGGATATGAATTACCCAACCCAACCCGAATCCTTTACCCAAATCACATAACTGATAACTGGATACTTCAACAGTATGTCATATACCGGGACTAAATTATTCTCAATTAATTGTTCAGGGACCTTGTTGTAAAACTGGGAAACTGTATGGCTATAAATAATCAACTGGGGTCAGAAAAGGATTACCGAAATATTGAATTGAAGTTGTATTTTCTCAACGGGAAAATTTCACTTTATGTACCCTAAAAATGGGGATCTCCAAATCATGTACTCTAAAAATTGGTCTCACAAAATCACGTATCTTATGTTTGAAATTTGTTGTTTTAGGTACTTTTTAAAGGGCAAAATAGGAAACTATTAAAATTTGTTCTAAACTACTACGCTTTTGCTACCAAACTTTTGGATAAGAGCAAATTGTACCATAAATTCTATTAATTTTACCCAAATTTATCGTTCAATCAAATTTTAACAAATTGCTCCTAGATTTTGGGTCAAAAATTTCCCAAGACTTCCGGTGTTCATTAGTTTAACGTACATATTTGTTTTATTTTTGCGAGTTTTTCTTTATTATAAGTTTAATTTATATTTTTATTTGTTGTTTCCCATTATTGTTTTAAAAAATATTTTTTTAAACCTTTCTTTGTTGTACATTTATGCAAGTTCTTGGCACTTTGATGCATTTCTAAGAACACATATTTTTTTAGATTTTGTTTTTATTCGCCTAAAATAAACTCTGAAAATTCCCGCAAATAAGAAAATTTATGTGTTACTAGAATTGCATCAAAATAACAAAAAAAAAGAAAGAGTAAAAAATATTTTTCAAAATAATTATGCAAAATGACAAATAAAAATATAAATTAAAATTATAATAAAGAAAAACTCGCAAAAATAAAATAAATATGTATGTTAAACTAATGAACAATGGAAGTCGTGGGAAATTTTTGACCCAAAAGCTAGGAAAAATTTGTTGAAATTTGATTGAACGATAAATTTGGGTAAAATTAATAGAATTTATAGTGCAATTTGTTTTTTTTCAAAAAGTTTGGGAGCAAAAGCGTAGTAGTTTAGGACAAATTTTAGTAGTTTTCCATTTTCCCCTTTAAAAAGTACTTAAAACAACAAATTTCAAACATAAGGTACGTAATTTGGTGAGACCAATTCTTAGGGTACATGATTTGGAGATCCCCTATTCTAATTTGTGGAATCTTTTCTCAATTATGGTTTGATGAAACTCTAATAGTCTATTTCCTTTTTCTGACTTGCCGGATTTCGCCAATTTCCGATTACTACTTTGCGGTAGCTGACATAATAGTAGAACTGTATTCTGTCCTAAAAAATTAGTCCATTTCAAGTTTTGAAATTTGTACTAAAAATAGTACAAATTGCGAAAAGTCAATGTAAACTATTTTCTTAGGAGATTTAAATTATTTAGTACCTGTTCCAACTGTCTTTCTTTTTGTACCAAAAGAAATAAGGAAAAATGTATTATGATGATAATTTAAGGAAAACAATTAAATTCCTTAACAAATAATTATGTGAGAGAAATTAAAAGTTTCAGTTTTATCCATAGATAAGATCATGAATCGTTAGAGGAAGAAGATATTGGACATGGTCTTTGTATCATCATGATTAAGTTAGATACATGGAATGAGAAACTCTTTTATTGGAGTAATTATATGAGGAGCAAAACTGTTGGTTTTTTTTTGGGGGAGGGGAACCACCCCAGGTGATAGGTCTTAAAGTTTCATATTAGTTATGGGTATTTGTATAGTATTTTGGATTAGATTGTGCACTTATATTATGTATTTTGATTTTTTGGTTCCTAGGAGTCCTTAGAGATGAGATGGAGCAAAATGTTCCATAAACACACATTTTTTGAGCATTTTGACAAGGAAGCACAATAAGGAGCAATGACATCACATTCTCGTGTGGGCACACGAATCTCAGTCCAAAATTGAGCTTTAGAGAAGAAATTCCAGCATTGAGGCTGCATTCCCGTTTGGCCATACCGAAATAGGAACTAAAATGAAAAATTCAAAAAGTTTTAGGGTCAAAATATAATTTTGCCAAACTTGAGAGACCAATCTGCAAATCTCGGAAAAGTTAATTTGCTGCTGCGGATTTCTGAAGGGCTGCTGCAGCTGACCTATTTTCTGATTATAAATAGACTTTGCTTTTCATTTTGAAAAGGTAGGAGGTAGTAGAATAAAAATAGACGTAGTTTTCCACTTTTAAGGAGGTTTCAAAGGCACTTTCTTCATTTTTTGGAGTCTTCCGAATTCATAGACATCAATCGGTAACATTGTTCAATGAATTTTTCTTGTGATTCAGTTTTCATGATGAGTAGCTAAATTCATTCATTTGGTTGAAGGGTATTGAAGCCTTGGTTTGAATAATTGTGAGATCTAAATGTTGTTTATCTCTCAATTTCTTGTGAGTATTTACTTGTTCTATTGCATAATTGATATGATTATTGTGAATTCATGAATAGCTGGTAGTATTCGATACTTCTTAATAATCTAAAACCAACAAGACAACAAGGTTTGTTGTTTAAATAGGGTATAATATAATTTAATTACTTGGTAAGTAATTATTTATGTTATAAAAACAAGTAATCCGGTTTAATATAAAACAAGGTTTGTTTTTATAGGAATTGGGATTGGGTCTATGTGTTTAATGTAGTAGTTTTCTAAATCTTAGGAGGTTCCAAGATTAGTTTTCGACTAATATATGATTAATGAAGGTTTCTTAATAATTGAATTAAATGAAAGATTGAATTGTTTGGAGGTTCCAACAATGAAAACTAATATACTCATAAGTTAATGATAATATCATTGCATCTATGATCGACTTTTTAAATCAAGGTGGATATACAAACCCTTCGGCCGGATATTTTCTCATTATTTGTTTGCATCATTTTAGCTATTGTTTGCAATTTGTATTGTTTGCAATTTATTTCAACAACTCAAAACCACCCCCCCATTTGTTACTTGATTTAAAAAAGAGAAATTCACCATTCTTTGAGGAGACAATTTTACTTTCCTGTACTACATTAGTTTGGAAATAAGTTAAATTGTTTGTTGGCTTGACATCCCATCACCAGGTAAAGCAAATACACTTGAAAAACACATAAAAGAATATCATACAATTTTTTCCCATGATCAAGAATGTGAAATAGGCTACTATTAAAATCTTTATTACCGTTACAAAAATGCTAACCTTATATATTTGGGCATAGTAATAAATGAAAACCTAGCAGGAAAAAAAAAATAGTAAAGACATCGATCTCTGAATTAATGTTTACTATTAATCTTTTTAGTGCAACAAAAAAAGCTAAATCTATGTACGATAAATTAATACTACAGAATGTATCTTAAATGATACATTACTATTGAGATTGAGTGAAACATATTTAAAACTATATCAACATGCTTTCTCGTGTATTCTTCCCTGCTACATTTTGATAATGCATTGGGTTGAAATTAAAATAAGACAGAACAATGATTTTCTATGGCGTGTCGCTAAACGCATATTAATTTTATTTCGTACAACTTGTGAAATAGATTAAAATATCCTTATGAACCTGCATGAAGTAAAATCAAACCATACGAGATAAAATCTTAAAATGAATCAGATCTGTCGATTGTCGGCGGATTCCTAAACTTCTTCGACAGCGACAAAGAATGGATTATTTTCCCACCGATTAAATTACATAGTCATATTTATCAATTTCAAACCAAAAAAAAAAAAAAAAAATCATGAACAAGATACCTAAGTTAATTTATACCTTAATGAATAATTATTAAAAATGATTTCAAACAAAATATTCCATCAGGATGAAAAATTTGTTTTGAAACGAAACAGCAACAACAGATAGAGAAAGTCTCAACAAACACGGGTTTGGTGGAAATCATCTTAACCAAAGCCACTTGATCGTCTCATTTTCTCCTCTTTTGTGGTTTATTTGGTTTTCGACATCGTAAACAATCAATAATCAATGAATTTTTACTGTATATTGAAACAATATGTGTGAAATTGTAAAAAAACATAATTGTATAAAAGAATTTGGGAGGGTTTAGAATTTAGATGTACTATTTAGTCTTTTTCAAAAGCCGTGCAAAGTAAAATTAAGTTGTGTTTAGCAATGCACTTTTCTAAGATGCATTAACCTATATTTTTTTTCTCAACAAGTGAAAACTTAAATAATGCATACAAAAAAGTCAACAAAAAACAAGACAGCGATATTGTGTAATCATTATGCCAATACATGACTATTAATTTAGATTTTTTTTGGGGAAAAAATAATTCGTGGAAACTGGAAACAATGAAGGTACAGAGGTACATTGGATGAATCGGAGGAATATCCCCAGGAACGATACCGTGTTTTTGACAAAGTTGACAATGAGAGCCCCGTTGACCGACCCAAGTTGCTCGTCGTTGTTGTTGGACATTGGATTGCCCGTGGCCGTAGTGGTGTTGCGGTTCTGGGACCCACCTTCCCTCATCAATTTTTCCTGATTATATCCATTTCCCCGTTGTAATAATTTTTCTTTATAAAAAAAAGGGTTGAAAAAATATCGCAGAAGCAGTTTGTTGATCAATTCGGAGTACACGAACAAGTTTCTCCTCTCTTTTTGTTCTTTTCTGTTCTTACTTCATCATAGTCGGAAAATCCCAGGTTGTTTTTTTCCCCTCATCTTCCTGTAAATTTGGTGGTTCTAAATAGAGAGATAATATATAATGGAAAGTGGCGACGGGGCGGCGGTGGAGGAAGGGAAGGTGAGGTGTGCTACGTGGATCAGGCGGCCGGAAAACGCGCATCTGGTGGTTATCGGCAAGTCGTCCAGGCCTCGTTCTTCACTCGAGATTTTCGCATTTGATCCTAAACTCACTTCTCTCTCTTCCTCTCCTAAGGTTTCTTTTTTTTTTTTGTTAATGTCCTTTCTCTACTCCTTTCCCCAGTTTCTTTCGTGTTTTCTGGTGAAGTTCGTGTTTTTTTCTCCCTTTTTTGTTGGGGTTTATAATCGTTTGTTTGGGGTTCATGGTTTCAGGCTACTTATGAGTTTGAAGAAGGAGTTGAGCCGGTGAGCATAGCCGTACATCCCAGTGGAGATGACATTGTTTGTTCCACCTCTACTGCCGGCTGCAAGTTTGTTTCTTTCCTTTCTTCTCCCCCTCAATTTCCTTTTTTACCGTTTCCAACTTTTGCTATAGTTTATCAGTAACTTTTGGTGAAATGATTGTGGATGTCCGGAGTTGATGTTTGGAAATAGAACAAACAAATGTAGAAAAGACTGAACATTTGATCACCCTAATCCTTGTAAAGCTATTCCATTGTCGCTCTGTATTGTTTTTTGATAAAGCGTCCACCGCCTTATTTAGAAGGTTTATCTTGGTATCTTTTGCAAGTGTATCTAAGTGAAGCACAACTGTCATAATTGTATAGGAAATGTAGAAATGCCTTGTCATAGTTTGCTTTAACTATTTCATGACATGTTTTGACCGATTAAATAGTGTCCCTGTGTGGTTCGCAAGCTTTAAATGCTCTGGGGTAATTATTGGTCATGTTCCTCCGAAGATTTCTTGACACGAACTGGTTTTTGTTGTCATAAAAAATGTCTCTGCTTTGACCACAGAAGATTAGAACTGTAGCTTTTGTAGTATATGAAAGGGGAAAAAAGTGTTAATGTGGTTAACAGTTTTTATGTTCTATGTGCAGATTGTTCGAGTTGCATTGTCGGGAAGATAATGTTGAACTTCTTGCGAAAGAGTTGCTTCCACTTCAGGATGTTGGTCCTCAAAGATGCTTAGCATTCAGTTTTGATGGATCCCGATTTGCTACCGGAGGAGTTGTGAGTTATTTACCGTGAATAGAGCTCGGGAACACCTGGTTGTTCTTCTTACTTATGCTGTATTTGTTCTAATTCGTCATATTTTCTTTGTGATTCTTTCAAACTTTAGGATGGACGTCTCAGAATATTTGAATGGCCTAATATGTCTATCATTTTAGACGAACCAAGAGCTCACAAGTCTTTCCAAGACATGGATTTCAGGTAAGACTGACTTCTATATCAGATTTCTTATGGGCAGCCGAAGAGCTGATCACTAGTATTCACATCCGGTTTTATCTGTGTTTGAACACAGACAATGTGCAACTCTCTTCAGCCCTTTTCTTTTCTTGTTTTCCCTAGTCGTAATTTCACTGTGCATGGCTTTCTCGACCTAAGAGAATGATGTGTAAAATCCACTCTCCTTTCCCCCTTTTATTATTTAACTCACGTACATGAATGAGTATTCTATTAACTGTAAAGTATATTTTTAAACTGGTTTACTAAGTTTAGTCATAGTATATTGTGAACTTCTTGAATATATATTATAGCTGCATGATATTCTTTTGATAAGTGTCTTACTTTATTTTTCTCTTCGAGATGTATTTTAGTCTGGACTCAGATTTCTTGGCTTCAACATCTACTGATGGTTCAGCCAGAATATGGAAGACTGATGGGGTCCCAGTGACATCCCTGCCACGGAACGCTGTATGTTTTATGTGATTTAGAAGGTGTTTCCGTTGCATGGTTTTCATTGTTTTAGAATATCAGTGAAAGGACTGACATCTGGACATTACGTTATTGCAGGATGAAAGAATCGAATTGTGTCGGTTTTCAAAAGATGGGACCAAACCATTTCTATTTTGCACAGTGATAAGGGGTACTGTAAGCTTTATTTCTGAAAACTCTATGAAATTGTGTTTTGACTCCTCTCCTCTTCCTAACATGGAATTTTTGTCCTTGCTAACTAGGTAATAAACCACTTATTGTTGTTTGGGACATAAGCACATGGAAAAAAATTGGCCACAAGAGACTACTAAATAAACCAGCATCTATCATGTCTATAAGTTTGGATGGGAAATATCTTGCTCTGTAAGTACTTGAGTATGTATGAAGATATTCCTTTTTCATAATAATGCTTACTGCCTACAAGTGACCTTTTTCTGATTGCGTTATTGTGATAATTGATGAGCTCAGGGGAAGCAAAGATGGGGATGTTTGTGTAGTTGAAGTTAATAAGATGGAAATTCGCCACAGGAGTAAGAGACTTCATTTGGGATCTAATGTTACTTCATTGGAGTTTTGCCCAAGCGAAAGGTGAAGTCCCTTTATGTCTTTTGGGTTTTTCAGAGAATGAAGCTGAATTGGGATTATGAATATTTGGGGTTGTCCATGTGTATATGTAAGAATTAGTAGTTACAATTTGGTAAGAGCCTAAGAGGCTGTTTAAACTTAAGAATTTTGTGCATGTGTGGTTTGTTTTCTAAAAAGAACTGAAATACCTTAGCCATGTGTTTTGCTATGAAAGCAAAGCAATGTACAACATAAATGATTTGCTCATCATTTGTCTCAAATGTTATCCTACTGAGTCATGTTGTTGTTGACTAGTTGTCCTTGTTGCCAACATTTTCTCTAAGAATTTGAAATTTCCAACTTCTACTTGTCTTAGCTGTTGTAAATGGATTCAAGTACTGTTGGTTTCAATCCAGCCTCTCAAGATCTATTTTTAATTTTGGCTTGTTTAAAATGTGTATGCATTCTCAAGTTTACTAATCATAAGATTGATGGTTTGGTGGTCTTTTTGCAGGGTTGTGCTTACTACGTCTTCTGAATGGGGAGTTATGGTGACTAAGCTGACTGTTCCTGCTGATTGGAAAGGTCTCTCTTTCTCTCTCGGTCTTTCACAATCACACTTTTTGCATTTTAGATCTGAATTTGATCCTTAACCACTCCTTTCCTGTGCAATGCAGAATGGCAGATTTACTTGCTACTCCTGGGACTATTTCTGGCTTCTCTTGTGTTGTTCTACATATTCTTTCAGAATTCTGATATGTTCTGGAACTTCCCTGAACCAGGCAGAAAGATTAGCTCCGTATTGACTGATTCAAATCCCGACGAGAAGAATATGTTTGGAGCTTTCGGACCACTAGACATGTACCCTGACTAATCTTCATCCGAAGTTCAAAGAATAGCATTTGTGAAAGTAGCCGCTGTGTACAAGAGCTGCGCATTTTTTAACATTGCGGAAGTTATTTTCGGAAAGATCATCGAGATCTTGATATTTTCGTAGGTAATTGACTTATCATTTTCGTAATGATATGAAAGATGAACCTTTTTGGTTGCTAGTTTCAGACTTTCAGTGACCACGCATGGAACTTTACTATAATCTTTTTTCCTATCAAAGAGTTGATGCTGTGATGTTTTATTTGGTTAAAAGTCGGAGTTGATAATTCGGTTTTTATGCTTAAACTTTCAAATCACGATGAAAAACTCAAAAAGAAAAAAAAAGGTTGCAACTGAATTCTAATTAGCGGTATAGATGGGAAGACAGGCGTGGCCGGGCGATGGCCTCCAGAGGCCTGGCCTTCGGCATGGTCATACCGTAAACCTCTGTGGTATCAATATCTTCGGGCCTTAACTTATCAGCAGGGCTCCAATCAAAGCAATGAAAAAGCCGAGCCAACGCCATTAGCACCAGAGTTACCCCAAGTGGTGCCCCGGGGCACTTCCTCTTCCCTGCACTGAACGGCAAGATCTTGAAGTCAGCTCCATGGCTAATTTCCACTCTACTTCCATCCGCAGGTAAATGTCTTTCAGGCCTGAACTCTTCCACTTGGTCCCATATCTTTGTGTTCCGGCCAAGCCCGTGCGTGTTGATAAAAACCCGTGTCTTGGCCGGGATATAATACCCGTAGATCTTGGTGGCCCGTACTGATTCGTGTGGAATGAGGAAAGGACCTGCCGGATGCATCCTAAAAGTTTCACGCACAACACATCGTAGGTACTTCAGGTGGACTAAATCCGATTCCAAAACCATTCGATCTCTTCCTACTACATCATCAAGCTCTTTTTGGATCTTCGTGAGGACATGTGGATGCTTGATCACCTCCGCCATTGCCCATTCATTGGTCACGGCTGATGTGTCTGTGGCAGCAGCTATCATGTCCTGAAACATGTTTTCAACAGCCCCAAAATAAAATGAGTAGAAGATAAATGAGACATATGATTTGATCAGAATAACAAAAAGTGGTTTTACCTGAATTAGTGCTTTAATTTCAGTATCATCCATTTGTCTTTGCCCGTTTTCTCCAGCTAAAGACAATAACACATCCACAAAATCAACCCCTCCTTCATTTTTCGTCCCATCTTTGTGCATTTTCCTTTTGTGTTCTTCAAGGATCTTGATGTGAAAATCATCCACCCTCTTCTCCACTTCCCTCATTTTCTTCTCACATCCAGAAGGATCAACCCACCTCCAAAATGGCAGATAATCTCCTAAATAAATGATGCCTAGAAGCCAGAAAAGCTCATGTGTTATATGCATGAACTCCATGGCCTCTTGTGGTCCAGCTGAGTCTTCCCCAAAATATTGCTTCCCAAGCAACATCCTGGTCACATTGTTCATGGAAAATGCACCAAGCACTTCCCTCAAATTCACTTTGCCTTCTGTCTGGGCCTTGGTCCAAACATCCTGAACAAGATGCTGGGCCTCCTCGGCCCGATGTCTTGCAAACGATTCCAGCCTCCTTGTAGTTAGCAAATGCTCCATGCAAATCCTCCTCATTCTCTTCCATTTTGGGCCGAGCGGAGCCAATGCCACATCTCCGCATCCATAGGCCAGATGGACGGCGGCAAGAGTCCTCGGCCGGGAGGCGAAAACGTCGTCTTGATGGACCAGAATTTCCTTGATAATCTCTGGATCGTCGGTGGTGATGGCGTCAACACTTCCTAGCCGGAGGTACACTAAAGGCCCATATTTTTGGCACAAAGAAGCCAGGTCCCTATGAGGCAATTGGGTTAGCTGAAGAAGGTTCCCGACAATGGGCCAACTGGTTGGCCCTGGTGGAAGAAGCCTCTCAGAAGACTTGTTTCTCAATTTTCCGAGAGAGTAGGCTAGGAGAATTGAGCATAGAACTAAGGAAATTACATAGAATATTCCCAAGGAAGATAGCCAGTTCATTAAATTTGTGAAATAAAAATGAACTAAGAAAATGGGATAGACTATATCCATCCTTTCTTTTTGCACTAAAGAAAGAAAGTTAAGGAAGTTAGTAACAATGGGAATGAAAGAGGCTTTTTGCACAAAAGAAAATTACGGAAGTTAGTAACAATGGGAGTGAAGAGGTTTTGCACTTATCGTACGTTGAAGACGATAATTAAGGTTGAATTAGTTGAAGCATGATCTTGACATGGGAGTCATTCACACATTTGTGGTTTGCATCAATTTGTCCAGAATTTCGTTATTTAATCGACAATGTTTCAACTTTTAAGTGTTCATCAAACCATATCTACTCATTAGATGAATCGAACACGCTTCTTTGCGTGTGTTACAACACGCTTTGAGGTGTTGTTCCCTTAGTATATTGAAAATCATATTTGAATGGGAACAATAAATAATAAAAATATATAAACGCATCAATCCACTCATTATAAAATTTAAAGTCATTTTTGAACGGAAACAATAACTAGATGTGTCCATCCAGTCACTATACTTCACAATTCTACAAAAATTAACATTTCCTACAAAAATTATAAGAAACCCAAGACTACAACTTCCAACAACAGAAATATGTGCCGATTAATTTCAATAAAAAAGACTTAAAACCATGAGTTTGGAATACCCTCCTTGACTGAATAAAATTACTTCTCATTCACGAACATTATTAATTTAGCTCAATAAAATGAATTATTTTCAAGGGTCGACAGAATAATGTTTTACTGCGGAAATATCTTATAATTACCGAGGGAACACAAAAAAGCTAAAAAAAGGAAAAAGAAAAAAAAGAAAAGGCTAAAAAATGAAAATATCAGAGCCCAAAAGATCCACTTTTATGCCACTGATTCATTCGTCAGACACACTTTCTGTTAGATTCTGTCCCCCGCCACTGGACGTCTGAAACCCAACCATAAACTTTTACTCTCTTAACTTTAGAGATGAATTGCCTTCATACTCTTCCAAGGTCGGTTCTTGATTCATTTCCACGCTTTCTGTTGATTCTATGATCATCCCATAATTCTGTATTCTGGGTTTGGGACTAATTTCTGTAATTTGATTAATGGCATTTCTAATTATTATCCCCTTTTTCTCAGATCTTCTGCTTTGCCTTTACAAGGCTTCACGAGCCCTTTTGGAAAGCCTTCGTCCTCCGTTAGCCTCCCGGTAACTTTCATCTCTGTAGCTCAGAAATCAAAATGCCTTCTGAAATTGCTTATAAACCATTGTTGTTGGGATTGCGTTCTGTAACCAATCAAAATGGGTTTCTTCGTTTAATGCAGACTGTGCTGAATCTGAACGTTTCCATATTGAGCCAAAATACCGTTTTGAAGGTAATTGCTCGTAAATTTTGATGCATTTCATCCACAAAGTACTTCTTTGTTTTTGAATTGTGATGTATGATCCTATTGAACTCAGTTTCCAGCTCTGGAGTTGTGATTTATCATGATTTTAGAAGGAGTATTCCGCTTATGTCTAGATAATAATCGTATTGCTTAACGAATTTTTTCCATGTAACTTCACACTTTGTTGTATGAATCGGGTTGTCAATCTCATTACGTCACTAATCCTTAATTTTGTTTCTTTGAAGAAACAGCATTATATGCAGAGTGACTTTGTTCTTAAGGGGCATTAATTTTGTTAGTTTCTGCTCTGACATTGTTTTTTAGGCAATATCTAGTTCCACTCCAAGTTCTGAGATGGATGGTGCTAAAGCGGAGGATGAAAAGTCTGAAGAATACAGCCAGAATATGACTGAGGCTATGGGTGCTGGTAAGTGTTGGTTTCCCTGCCAATTTTTGTAATTTGCGTGACCAGGCATTGTTTTGAATATTCTTCGCTATAAAGTCAACAATATTGCAGCTAGTAGTCATTGGTTTTTCGCTTGCCCTTCATTCATTTTCTGTTAGCGAGCAATTTCTGCCTTTTTATAATGACGAGGCACCATTTCTCCGGTTGTTCTTGCCCGATTACGCATATTTTGTGGACATTGGACCTTATGTTTTGACGATATTTGCCTTTATTTTCCTTTTAACTTATTCATAAGGTATCTAGTTTTCCACTGATCTTTTGTTTCCCTTGACATTGTCATGGCAATGCAGTTTTGACTTATAGGCATGAACTTGGAATGAACTATAACTTCATTCGTCCAGACTTGATTGTGGGTTCATGTCTACAGGTATTACGAACTTCCTGTTACTTGTATGTATCTGCACACTCTAAAAGTTGATACAGTTTGACTATTATTTCTGCCCAATTATTATGCAGTCTCCTGAAGACGTTGACAAACTTCGTGCTATTGGGGTGAAAACTATTTTTTGTTTGCAGCAAGATCCTGATCTTGAGTATCCAACATTGCTATCTTTTTTTGTATCTTAATCAGTAATAAGCTGATTATGAAGTGCAGCCTTGATTAAAAATTATTGTATGGATCTTAGGAAATTCCCAAGCATCTATCGATCAATAACGTGTTCTACTTAATTCTTTACTTCATCAGATATTTTGATGTTGATATTAAAGCAATTCGTGAATATGCCAGACAGTGTGGTGACATTCAGCACTTGCGAGCCCCAATAAGGTAGTTAATGAACATACTGTAATCGTTCTAAGAATTTTCTTTTGTTCTATCTTCCCTCCACTGTGCTCTTTGCTTTGTCATTACTCCAAATCCTTGTACAATTGCCGTTCTCCACTTGTTTAAATGACATTTCGGTCTGTATGCAAAAGGCTTAGAAGGTATATCATCTCTGAGTTGAATATTCATTTCAACTGTTGTTTAGTTGTTCAATACTAACTTTAATATGCTTAGGGATTTTATGGGGAAGGTTTAATAATTTTTCTATTAGTACACAAGGAGCTTCATCATAACATATCCAGTAGCTTGATCCTAAATGAATCCCCTCTTTCAAGAGAAAAATTTTCGTTAACCTCGAACATGGATCAGAAATTGAAAGGAAGTAGATTTCTTTATGAACTCCCAATCGATCCGCAAAATCTTTCATTTTGAAGAATTTAGGGCTCGACTTGTTCACAATTTCAAAGATTCCTCATCCTTTAACAATGAGTTAGGACCTGAGAGCAATGCTCTATCTCCGAGCAGAAGCCAACATATTAATAAGACACAACCATAAGATCAATGAGGTTCTTATTGTCTTCTATCGTCCCCCTCTTAGCATGTTTACTCTGGCTATGGGAAGCTGTGTTCTCTCTTACATGCTGTGTTGACATGTTTAGTTTAAGAATAAAAAGGTGTTCTCTCTGTAAACTCGTTTTTATACTAGTTTTGATGCTGTATGGGTTGTACCTTTAAGTTGGGTTTACGCACATTTGTATTCTCCTGTAGGTGTTAAAAAGTATGAAAACTGTAATCAGAGGTCTACTGATTTAATATGATAACTCTGGTAATGTCTGACACTTGTTAACCAAAAAAAAAAGAAGAAAAAAGTCTTACAGTAAATTTTTGCTCTTAATTCTTTTCATGAAGGTTTATATGGACGCAAATGATCAGAAGTTATTTTGTTGTGCATTGTGTTGGTCAAGTTGCACAAAAGCAATAGAACATGTCTAGCTACATATAATGACATAAATTTGGCAGGGATTTTGATGGGTTTGATCTGCGAAAGCGACTTCCAGCAGTAGTGGGCATATTACACAAAGCCATTAATAGCAATGGTGGGGTGACTTACATTCATTGCACTGCTGGTCTTGGAAGAGCTCCAGCGTGTGCGGTATGTGTCAATTATTGCATCATTTTTCTTTCATCCTGTTGAGTTTCATTTATTACATCAGAACTTATTGAGATTTTGATCATAAAAGAAATGGAAACGTCAATTCCAGTCACTACAAAGGTTAATACCAGTAAAATTTGGTACCGCTGACATAATACCTTTGTTTCTGTTTTCTTTATTATCTCTCAATGAGAAATGCACGGTTTTTCTCTGGATGACAGCTCGCTTACATGTTCTGGATTCAAGGCTATAAGCTTAGTGAAGCCCACAACTTGCTCATGGTAACTGTTATTTTTCTTCTTCTGTTAAAGATACTGGATTAGTTCATCTATGTAAAAACATGATAATATCCATATTGCTGCTGGGTGACTTGATTATTTGTTGGTTTAGATCTTTATCAGTTGTTGGATGACTATAGGGTATATGTATTACGAATAGACACATATTCTAGATCAACCTTTCCTCCTTTTGAAATGGCCTCCTTTTTTATCTTGCCAGAGTAAGCGGTCATGCTTCCCTAAATTGGATGCTATCAAGACTGCAACGGCTGATATTGTGAGTTGGCTTTCCCCTTTTGATTTTTTATTTCACTGGTGAGTTTAGCTAGCACAGCCAGTGTAACTGTCAATTTCCATTTGGGTTTTAGTTTGTAACATGTCGACCACAATAGTATCTTGTACTACTTAGCATGCCAACTTTAGTTTGCACCATCAACATTGATACCTGTAATTCATCTTTAGGAAGGTTTAAGACATATGTTGAACATAGAGAAATTTTACGGAGTTCTGTTAGAGTCCACATCCTTTATTGTCTATCGCTTTTGTTTGTCTCATTTTGTAGGAACTATTTCTGCTACTTTCAATGTACAAGCGAAGCATTGTTGAAGCTTGAGTTATGGCATTTGTTGTTTAACTAAGTTAGTTATCTTCTTATGAAACACCTTTGAACAAGCTTAAGCTTGTGTTATCATGCTTATCCTTCTTGGAGTAAGAATTGTGGAAATCGCTATTCTCCTCTCATCCTTAATATGCTTGTATTTGAAGCTCACAGGCCTAAAAAAGAAGCCTGTCACTCTAAGATGGTATGGTAGCAAATGTTCCTTGGTAGAAGTCTCTGGGCTTGATGTTGGATGGGGTCAGGTAAGAGTTAACTTTTGTATTCCACCATTGTTTTTCCTGGAACCTTTTAGCAATGTAGGGATCTCTTTCTTGATCTTTGACATATTATTTCATGTACTGAGATTGAGGGAACAAATTAAAAATGGGTGCCTTGAAAGCCCTTAGCTAATAAGTGATGTAAATCCAAATTTAACCCTCTGCAGAAAATACCATTGGCTTTTGACAAGGCAGAAGCTTCATGGATACTGCACCGAGAACTACCGGTGAGTTGACCTTTCTTGTGCCATTCCTTTGAATATGGACCTGAACTGATTAAAGAGTATGCTAGTAGATTAAAAAAGTAAAAATAGAAAATAGAACTTGTAAGATTTTGATTTGCATCAATGCAGGAAGGACACTATGAGTACAAGTATATTGTCGATGGTGAGTGGACAGTCAATAAGTATGAACCTGTCACTTCTCCGAATCAAGATGGTCATGTGAACAACTACATCCGAGTACGTTTCTAAAATTACCTTTGTATGACATTATTCATCTGAAGACGTCACTAAACTATTTGAGCAAATTTTTCTTGTTACTTGAGGGCACCAGAAAGTGAGGATTGAACTATACTTGTGCCGTGGGGGGACAAATACTACTTTTCTCAGCTTGTTAATCGTAGCTAGAATTTGAATTTGAACATCTCATACGTATTGAAGTTAGTCTGTTTGAAAATGGTTCAAGAACCGAAGCACAAAAGAAAGTTTGACGACAAGGGATTGACATTAAATGGATACAGGGACAGCCGGCTCCTTTTTTTAAAACTTTTTTGTTTTGTTTTTACTTTTGAAAAAAGAGGAGAGCGAGCATGTTAGAAAAGGATTACGAGGCGTAGTTACTGCCTATTAGGGATGTAGCTTAACTATGCAAGCATCCCTCACTGTAATTGGCGCTTCAATGATTTGAAACTTCATATTTCTGAGATGATGTTGTCCTCTAAACTTTTTGATAACCTAGGGATGCATTATCAGATATATCATGGCTGTGTGTAATGGAAGTTGATGTATCTGTTTGTATATGCAGGTCTCCGACAGTAATCCTAACAGCACTGCCTCAAGAATTAGAAAGAGGCTAGGTGGTGATGACCCTGACCTCACAAAGGATGAAAGGATTGCAATCAGAAAGTTTCTTGAAGCCTGCCCAGATGAGGCAGAATGACTCACTTCCAACTCTCAGTATCCATAAAGTTAAAGCGGTAAATGTCCCGCGTCCATCAATGTACAAAGATTGATACTTATTACATACATAGTAATAGTAGTACTACTACTTGCGTTATTATAAGACAATTTTCTCTATCATCAATGTAAAAAAGAGGGGAAAAAAAGAAAAAGAAAAAACAAGAAGAAGAAAATAAAGGAAAAGGGACATTTTATCAGTGTACAAAGAACTGTTTGTTTGTAGATGTAAAGACGACATTCTGTTAGTGTACGAGTTTTGGCAAATGTAGAAAATCCCTTTGAATTTTCTGCATACATATTTATGACAAATTATTACGTTTGAGGAAGAATAAAAGTTCCATCACAAATGATGTGAGAGAGAGAGAGTACTTCTTACCAACCAAAGGTCCAAACCCCTTCTTAATGAGATTGCACACTCACTCTTCTTACCAACCAAAAAAGATGGTTGAACTTGGTTGTCACACAATGGTTACCAAGTCTTAATTAGGTGATCCGATTTATAACCCGGCCAGCTCTTCATCAAGTATCCACCTTTCTTTTCATTCCTTGCACTATTTCTTCCTTTTGTTTTAAAAAGTCAAATTTATAAATTATAAATTATTACAACACTATTAAATTATTATTTGTTTTATATGAATAGGAAGAACATTACAGTGGATTATTTATATCTGATAACACCCCTACATTTGTTGGAGTAGCTTATTTTGGTCCAAATTTATTGCTTTGTCGCAAAATTGTGTAAGCCACACTACTCACATATCACAAGTCTACTACTAGCCGCCGCCAAATGCCAATCATAGGAAATCAATAATAAGTCCAATCATCTAATAATTCTTTTGGTAGTAACATTTTAATGTTTCGTATGTTGGTATGATTTTCCCAACAACAACAATAAAAGTTAGAAGACCAAATGAACGAATAATTATTTATTATTATTGCATTGGCATAATTAAAAAAAAATAAAAATCTTCATCCTTTGGAGTTTGGACTAACTTTTAATTTTCAAAGGTCACATTAGTTTGGACTTTTGGGCCCATTTGTAAAGAGACCTTTTAGCAGGGTGGGTGATTGAAAATGCGTCAAGAAACCACGTCTTTAATCAGCTCTTATCCATTACCACATCAAAAATATTTTTGTAAGGAAAAAATTGAAAGAAATTACTAAAAAACCCCAAATTGGAAGCTTTGGAAAGCGCACAGCGTGGGAGGAAGGAAGGAAACTGTGCAGTTAGTCAGAAAGGAAAGGAAACTCCGATTCAGTTTTGCAAGTTGAGTTCACCGAGTCAACTCGATTGCTTCACTCCACTCACTCCCTTGGATGGACCACCTGTCCGACGACGAAACTACTAACCCAATCGACAATGCCGCCGCCGCCGTCAATTCTTCCTCCTCCGGCGTCGGCAATGCCGGAGGTGGTGGTGGAGGCGGAGGCGGAGGCTTTCACTCCATTCGTGACCGTTTCCGTTTCAAGCGTAACCCTAACTCTTCCGCTCCCTACACCACCAAAGCGGTTCTGCCGCAGTCCTCGCCGTCGGCCTCGAGTTTACCTTACGATCGTCAATTTAAACATGGGCGATCTCATCACCATCATCACCATTACAGTAGATCATTACCTCGGAGGCTGCTGCTGTTTCCTTTCAGGGAAAGATCGTGGTTCTATGTATGCATTTTCGTAGTGATATTCGTTTTCGCGCTGGCGTCTATGGTGCTTCAGAGCTCAATCATGTCGGTGTTCAGGCAAGGCGGTGGCGGGAGTGAATGGGACAAATCGCGGTGGTCGGTTAGAGATGACCTGAAGCTAGGTACCTCTTTACATTTTGTGCCTTCGAAACGATTTGAGCTTCACGGCGGACTTGATCAGCTCCGGAATCAGCCGAGAATCGGAGTTCGACCTCCCAGACTTGGACTTGTAAGTATATTATTGTTCTGTGGACTATGTGCATTTTATGTTCATAATAAGCTCTATGAAATAAGGCCGGGTTAAAGGAAATCTGAGCTGGAAATTTGGCACCAATTTGTTGGATGAGGAAGGTTCAAAGTAAATTGCAAGTCCGTGATTAAATGATGAGCTTGGCCTACTGTTATGTTTCATTTCTTTATAGTAAAGCATTAATGCATTGCACATTATAGTCTTGAAATCCTTGGACTTAATAGTCCTCTGCTTTGTCATTATTAGATCTTGGGGAACATGGAGAAAAATCCTTCATCATTGATGTTAACTACCGTGATGAAGAACTTGAAGGGACTTGGTTATTTGATCAAGGTAACCTGTTTTTTTGAAGCTATTACAAATTCTCTTGTATATTAAGTCTATCATAGTTTTTTGCCTCTGAAGGTAACAAATCAGGAGGATTTTTGAAATTAATAATCAGTAGCGAATTTTGTCTTCTACAAAAGTAATGGATGTTTCTGTGGATTATGGCATGCTATTCCTTGATGCTCATGGTTCCATGCACTTATCTTTGTCAGATATATGCTCTTCAAGATGGTGATGCTCGACTGATATGGGAGGAGATAGGCGGTACAGTATCAAATTTAAGTCCAGAAGGATATGGTGGTGTTGATTGGTCGATGTATGTTTGTTCTATAATCTATTATTGCTATTATTAAAGATACTCTTATTACTGTTGAAAGATTTGTTTCACTTTTGAAATGTTTCGTTGCTTTTCAATTTGAATTGAAATGGTGGTTACTGGTTTTTGCAGGTTTGAAGGTGTTATAGCAGATTCACTTGAAGCAAAAGATGCCATTTCAAGGTAGAGTTCTTCACATATCAAATAATTTCTTGTTTAAAGCATCTGTTGCACACATCTCTACAGACCTTGGTGCTTAATAGTTTTTAATTCCAGAAAATTTACCTTAATTATGATATAGGAATAGGAAAGTTTCCATAACAGTATAATTTGGAAGTTTAGTATTCTGAAACTTGTATAGAAGCTCTGTATACTATGAGGATCATACAAGAAAAAGGTTTGGCTTTTACCACCTTATGACTGCTTACACCTACAGAAATGTTATGACTCTTTGCTTCTTTGCCTTTTATTTTTCATTTATTTTGTGCAGATTATATTTTGTCTATCTTTTGAGCCTTTTATTTTAGCTCATTCCCCAGCTGATGTAATCTCGTTGTTGATATTTCCAACATTTATAATATGCAAAATGTTCTTTTTAATACTTTAGAAAGGCAATCTGAAATGAATGTGCATTTTTCAGGTGTAAACACTTTAAAAGTAAAAGGGTCTCTACTTTCGTGGGCAAAGTTTGGTCGTTGGATTCTAGTAGAGTTGTAGATGGACAAAGTACACTATTTGTTTCAGATTTTAAGCTATAAAACTATTTACTGAATAAATTCTGACCTATCCATATGTATTCACCTAAATGCCAATTCAAAACATACGTAGGAGGTGACTGTTTATTCTTGGAACTGGATAAAGGCATGATGAGACATATGAGATTATGTTTATGAGTTTTATATTTTTGCAGTCTTATGCAGGAGCCTTTCTGCTCTGTTCCGCTTATATGGATAATTGAAGAGGATAGCCTTGCAACTCGTCTTAAACTGTATGAGAACAACCAATGGGGACATATCACTTCATACTGGCAGAATTATTTTCGCAGGGCCAATGTGGTCATCTTTCATGACTATTCCTTGCCGGTAAATAGCCTTTCTATATCAATGCATGATAAAGTAATTTGTCAGAGTTAGATTCAGTTTTCTATAGTTTTTTTTTTTTTTAAAGAATACTGTTAAGTGTGCTCCTCATCCTCATTTAGAATTACTTTCCTGTATCAGATGTTATATAGTGTGCTTGACACTGGAAACTTCTTTGTAATTCCTGGATCACCAATAGATGTTTGGGCTGCAGAAATTTATAGTAAGACACATTCAAGGCTGATTTTAAGGAACGAAAATGGTTTTGATGGAGGCGATCTGGTGGTTTTGGTTATTGGAAGCTCCTTTTTCTACGATGAACTTCCATGGGAATATGCTGTCTCAATGCAAAATTTGGACCCCCTTCTTATCAATTATGCTGGGAGAGAAGAAGGCCAGGAGGCCTTTAAATTTGTCTTCTTAAGTGGAAACTCCAGCCTTGGGTATGATGACGCATTGCAGGTAAATTCACCTTCACAGAATACCAATAGAGCTGTTACGTTATTTCTGTTGCCATGATGTCCAGGCTGCGGTGTGGGATTTAAAGCATAACGAACATACAAAGCCTACTGTAGGATTATCTTTGACATTTTAATTTGCAAATATCTTATGTGTTAGTTTTGAAGTCTTTAACTAGCCATGTCGTATTCTTTTCGTTATGACGGGGGCTTAAATTTGTAGATGAACTGCCCCATCCTTATTCATTCCTCATATTTTTATATTATGCTTGGTTTCTTCTTTGATTTGCTAGCTAATTTCCGTCATATAAACTATCAGATGCCAATTGTTTCAATTTTATGTGCTGTGTGCTTTGGGTCAAAAGAAAAACAAATGAAACCAACCCGCGAAGTTAAATTACATATAGAGGTATGTGTTCTAACAGGATGTTGCTACTCATTTGGGACTTCATCAAGGATCTCTCAGGCACTATGGATTTGATACTGATGTGAATGGATTGATATTGATGGCTGACATCATACTCTATGGTTCTTCCCAAGAGGAGCAGAGTTTTCCTGGATTGTTGATTCGGGCCATGTCATTTGGAATTCCTGTTGTTGCGCTTGAAACTCCTTCCATTAAGCAATATGTTAGTTATACCTTGTTTAATTTAAGTTGGTCACTTTGAGTATCATAACTTCTTTCCCCAGTTTTCTAAGAGGGCCTCTATTTTCCAGATCACTGATAGGGTACAGGGGATGATTGTTGCCAAACATAATTCCGATGCTATCATAAAAGCTTTTAGACCTCTTATATCAGAAGGAAAACTTTCAAAATTTGCCCATTCCATAGCTTCTGCTGGAAGGCTTCTTGCAAAGAATATGTTGGCATCAGAATGTGTCACAACTTATGCAAGGTTAATTGAGAACATCCTCAATTTCCCATCAGATGTCTTGCTGCCAGGTAACATTTCGCCGCTTAAGAAGACTTCTTGGGAGTGGAAATTTTTCCAAAACAAACTGGATATGAGTGCGAATCAGCACATTGATGGTGTCCGGATCACTTATAGCGTTGTGCAAAACACTGAAGAAGAGATGTCTATTCTAATTCCCTCAAGTGATTCTGAGAACAATTCAGATCTAGTGGGAGAGGGTTTTCCCACTAATATAGATTGGAATGCTTTGAGAGAATTGGAAATTTCTGAGGAGCTGGAGAGTGTAGAAATGGCAGAGGTATGACTTTTATATCCTTTTATACAACTCTTCCTGTTCATTTGTTGTATTTTCGGAGTCTCTTGGAGTTACTGCTGAACACATTGTGAATGTCTCATGAACAGATAGAGGAAAGAATGGAGAAAGAGATTGGTGATTGGGATGAACTGTACCGTAATGCTCGTAAATCTGAAAAGCTTAAGTTTGAAACTTATGAGAGAGATGAAGGAGAGCTGGAAAGAACTGGGCAACCTGTATGCATTTATGAGATTTATCATGGAGCTGGAGCTTGGCAATTTCTTCACCATGGTTCCTTGTATCGTGGTTTAAGTCTTGTGAGTTCCTTTGACTTGTGAAAACTTTTTGCTTTTCTTATTTTTTGGATGGATACAAATTTCTTATGAGTTTAGATATACTGTTACCTCAAAAGGAGTTTCTGTTACTCTTTTTTTTTTCTTTCCCTCAAAGGCATTCATGGAAGAATTTTACTCCATCTCTTTCTATCTAGTGAAAAATACCAGATGTTTCAACTTTGAGGTTTTTTTTTCCCTTTAAATCCCCTTTTTCCCTTTTTCTCTTGGAGTCGTCTGAAATGTAGCAGTTGTATTCTGTTTTAATGTTTCTGATTCTTACAAGTCTACTGGAGCTAGAAGATTGAGTTCAGATGACGTGGATGCGGTTACTCGACTTCCAGTCCTGAATGATACATACTTGCGGGACATTCTATGTGAGATTGGAGGCATGTTTTCCATTGCAAACGGAATTGACAACATTCACAAGCGGCCTTGGATAGGATTTCAGTCTTGGCGTGCCACTGGAAGGAAGGTACATTTGAGGTTTCCTTATACATCCAGAAACTTTTTTAAATCTGTACTTCAGTGAAAGCTCCAAGAATAAAGTTGAAGTTCTAATACGTAATATCTGCATCATTTGATGCCATTATGTTTCATCCATTAATTATCTTGTCATGCATTTTGAAGGAAGTTCTCGAATAATCTGTCTTTTGTGGTCTACATTTGCATCAGGCAACTCTTTCGGCTAAAGCCGAGCAGGTTCTTGAAGACGTAATACAAAAAAATACGAAAGGGGATGTAATATACTTCTGGGGAAAGTTGGACGTGGATGGTGGATTTATGGGGAACAATGATGTGCTTACTTTTTGGTCCATGTGTGACATCCTGAATGGAGGAAACTGCAGGTAAGAGTTTATCTATTGTAGTTGGTTGTTTATGTTCTGTGGATAACGTCTGTGCCCCGGTAAGCTTTGATCTCAGACTTTTTTCGTCGCATTATTATTTTACCATAATAATTTCATCAATATCGTGCTTAATTTTGTCTTCCAATAAATTTTCTTGCTATAATGTGATTCCATTCTTTAGTTTGAAGCAATAAAATAAAATCCTCTTAACATCTTTTTTGATTTGATGATTGCACTTTTAATGGGTATTTCTCGCCCTTGTACAGAACTGGGTTCGAAGATGCGTTCCGAAGAATGTATGGTTTACCACCAGATGTAGAAGCTCTCCCTCCCATGCCTGAAGATGGAGGGCGGTGGTCAACGCTGCACAGTTGGGTGATGCCTACCCCTTCTTTTGTTGAGTTTATTATGTTTTCTCGGTAAATGTCCTTCACATTTTTATTATTAAACTTTGTTTTGTCAATTCTGTATCATATTTTTAAGTTCGGTTGCTCATCTGTAATTCGTGCTGACTGAGATTTTTAATAAATTACTAGGATCTTTGCGGACTCTCTGCACCATTTGCATGTGAGCTCAAGCCAGATGACAAGTTGTTTGTTGGGTTCCTCAATGTTGGAAGTGAGTGTGGACTTAGCATAATCTTTGTCATGAGATGACATCACAAACCTTGCTTATGTTCGCTTTTTTCATTTTTTGACAGAAGAAGCACTGTTACTGTCGCATTTTGGAACTTCTCGTCAATGTTTGGGCGTACCATAGCTCACGGAAGATGGTCTACATTGATCCTCATTCGGGATTAGTGGAAGAGCAGCATCCTGTAGAGCAACGGAGAGGCTATATGTGGACCAAGTACTTCAACACCTCGCTATTGAAAAGTATGGATGAAGACCTAGCAGAAGCTGCGGATGACAATGATCATCCATACGAAAATTGGCTGTGGCCATTAACTGGTGAAGTCTATTGGCAAGGTATATATGAACGCGAAAGGGAAGAGAGATACAGGTTGAAAATGGACAAGAAAAGAAAAGTGAAAGAGAAACTGCTGGAGAGGATGAAAAATGGATACAGGCAAAAGTCACTTGGAAGAAGAAAGTAGTTTCTGGAGAGCACAGCACGAGGAGTGGTGATTTTACATGGATTTGGTGACTCCTTGAAGAAACAAGGCCTCGATTTTTTCTCGCTTTCTTTCTCGACTCGAGTATGTTGAAGAAAACTCACTCTGAGAAGGAAATGGCGTGATTGTTTCTTACACAGCATCAAAAGGGAAGTTCAACTGACATTCTTCTGACCTTACTGAATATACTATAATGGAGATAGCAGGAGGAATATAGAAAAGAGAAAGTTTAGGTAGGATATGACACAGCAACAGCAATTTTGTAGTTCCTGGGAATTCTCAGATATAGAGATAAAAAAAAAACCTGATTTTTGGCAGAGATTCTTTTCATAAGAAACAGCTACAAAATAGTAGTATTCTTTTCTCCTGAATGTACATATACTTTCTGGTATTAATTTATCATTTTCTTCAAAGCTCGAATCCTTTGTGATACTTTTAATGTTACACAAGTTATATATTACAAAATAGTATTCTTTTCTCTGGAATGTACATATAGTTTCTGGAAACAATTTATTACTCCCTCCGTCCCATAATTATTGTCCAGTTTTAGTTTTCATTTCTAGTTCAAATTGTACTAAAAGTGAAATCTCAAAGTGGACAATAATTTTAGGTCAGAGGGAGTATTTAGCTCGAATCCTTTGTTATACTTAATTTTACACAAGTCATATATTTGATTTTATTGTCATAAAATTGATTAACCAGTGAACTAATAACTAAATTATAGGGGGACTAAAATGGATGTTTATTTAAAAATTTTCTTTAACTCACTAATCACTATCGCTCCATTTCCTTATCTATATATATTAGTGATGTTTGGTCGCGCAATGCGCGACCCTGGCCTATTATATCTGTAGATCTTAGAAATGTTTGTATTTTTTTAAAAAATATTTTTTATACGACCCGATATATTTTAGAAATATTTGAAGAATTTAGAAATGTTTTATAAGTGTGATATTTGTATTTGGCATAAAAATAAATTGCATTTGACCCGGTACGTTTTAGAAATATTTGAAAATTTTAGAAATGTTTTATAAGTGTTACTTCTTAAATATAAATAAATTTGATCAAATATATGTCTTGAAGTAAATGCTAGACAAAATATAAAAACATCCTAATAAGTTTAAATATTAGTAAGATAATTTATTGATGTTCTCCATTGGTTGTGCCAAATCTATACTTAGTTTTGGAGATTTATAACAGCTTTGTAGTTAGCTTCCTCCAACGGGTATACGCTTAATTGTTTGAACTATTTCTTCCAAAAGTTTATAGGTAGTAAAATATCAAAAATATAATTTTGAAACTAGTTAATTTTTGAAACTGGTTGATCACAAATATGAGAATGAAAATAATGTAAATTTGCATAGGTTTCAAGAAATAGCAAAAAAGAACTCACCTCACCGTGGCAAATAAAAAAAAAAGAAAGTAAAAGATAGCCCATTAAAATTTGAGATTTTTTTTTCTGTAGGTAAAAATGATGTATAAAAATACAAATAAACGTAGAAACATCATTCCTTCCCTCTCCAGCTCAAATTTATAAAAGGCTTACTCATAAATTAGTTAGAAGAAGTGACCTGAACTATTTATATGATGAGAAACTAAAAAAAAAAGTCCAAAAACCAAATCCAAAAAAGTATATTCTTGAAACTCCAAACACAAAAAAAAAACGCGCTTCATTTGTAAATAAAATAATAATAATAATAATAATAATAATAATAATAATAATAATAATAACAACAACAACAATTGGTCAACTGGGAGTATGAAACAAAATCAAAAGCAATTAAACAAAGAGAGAATACATTTCATAATTGGCCATATACGAAAAAAAACATGAGGCTCCATAATTAAAAAAAGAAAACCACTCTAATTGAATGAAACATAAAAAATAAATTTAAAAAACCACACTTTGTAATAAAAACCCAATTAATCAATTCAATCCAAACATAACTAAAATCATATAAAAATTCTAAGCTAACTAACCAAATAAGAAATCACATTATATTACCTGACAACGCCTACGGTAGCTGTAACGGATGGACGCATAAAAATAATAGTAATAACACTATTCCTGAACGGGAAAAATAAAAAATAATAAAAGCCAAACCAATGATCTGTGGAAATAAAATCATTTAAATTTTAACACATGTAATGCCACCATCACAACGGCCGAAGCAAGATCAATGAGAATTTTTTTTTTCCTTTGTGTTTATATAGAGGGGTAAAGAGAATATTTTTTGAAGTTGAAATTTTATCCGATTAGGATGTAGTTGATCATCACTAATGAAAATATTGAACATGCTAATAGGAAAGGAGTATATTTCACCACATACTCTCAATTGATGATTGCTGAGTAATTTATTTATTTTTAATTGTGGAGAAAGGATTGATTAGGGAGTCGATTGTTGTGGAGATGGGGATGAGGATTTGGATTTTTTATTAACTCGTGGTTTTTGTTTGGCGAAAATAGGAGGTAGAGGTGAATTTGGAGTGCATTTGCCTTTTAACTCTAGGAGATGTGGAAATAAAAATTTATTTTAAAAATATGATGTGGAAATGCCACATGGCAAATAGTGGTGCTTTCTTTAAGTGTGGTTTTTGTTTCTAATATAGTAAGATACTATATTAACGCAAAAACCAGAGAGAGAAAACTAAAGGCATGGAGCACATGCCACATAGGATTTAATCCTATGTGACATTTTCGTAATTTCTTAGACTTAAAAATGCACAAAACATAATAATAAAACCAAAAAAAAAGCAACTAAAATAATTAAAAAAAATAATAAAAACCGAACCCTTATTTTCATGAACCAAATCCTAACACAGAGATTGATTGGAGAGAGTATCAAATCCTAACAAATTTTAGAGAGATCTGCATAAATCTTGTCACCAGTAAATTTAAAATGTCATTTAAAAAAAAATAAATTCTTGTAAACCCAGAAGTAATCATGTTTAAAACTCAAATCATTACATACTTTATAAAAATACAAAATTTATATAAAAATGTCTAAATGTGTATGTCTTCCCCGTCCATCGGACGGGTCTAACACCTAGTTACTCCTTATTTTTAATTTCCATTGCAGTTACCCCTCCACATCCCCGGTTTTTCTATAACTCCGAGACTTGAAATAGAATGAAAAGGGGAAAAACAATTTAAAAAAAAGAAAAGAAAATTCAAAATAAAAGTCAGCAATACTCTAAAACCTGCCCGCCCTCACCGTGCGCCAATGGGAGTGGAATGTTGGGCAGAAGGAGCAAAGCAAACTGTGTAGGGTTTATCGGCTCTCACTCCCTTGCTCTTACTCATTTTCATCTATTGCTTTTTTAGGTAAAACCCTTTCATTTCCAATTGCTGGCTATCATTTTTTCTTTCCTGTATCACATTTCTTCATTACCCTATTTGTGGGTTTTAGGTTCATGCGGCGTTTTCCAATTTTGCTGCTTTTTCTACCCTTTGTTTGGTGTATTTTTGACTGAAATGTTGGATTAGTATAGTAAGGGCAAAATGTACTTCGTTTCTTTATCCTGCTGCTGTTTTTGCTTTAACTTCTGGGTGTTTTGAATTGGGTTTTTTTCCTGTTCTTTTTGGGGGGTTTTCGGATGGGAAAATGTTTTAACAATTTCGAAAACATGAACTTTGTTTCTTATGTTTCCCTTTTTGTTTGAGAAACAAGATGCTACAATGTTCCATCTTGTTTATTTTTAAGCAAAGCATTAGCCCTTTCTTGTTTTATCTGGGGTTTAGACTTTAGATTAGATTGACACTCAATTTCTCACTCGATGATTATTATTTTGACTGCTGAAGTTGGGTTCCCTTGTGCACTCGTGGTTCTATTAGATTTTAATGTTTTGATTGCTGGTGCAGATTCTTGGAAACATTGATTAAAATCTTCTCAGATTATGCATGCATTCAAAGGTGGATGGGTTGGGCAAACATTTGCCCTCGCCACTCCTAATGATTCTGGAGGGAAGAAAGCAAGGATTAGACGTTCGAAAGAGGAGAGGAAGTCAATGGTCGAAACTTTTATAAAGAAGTAATCTTTATCACACTTTCTCTTGCTTGAGCTTGTAGTCTTCAACAATATGATTATTAGCTGATAAAAATGTCCAAACTTGGGCAAGTATTTTCGGCATCAGTAGCTATAGTTGTCACAACTTAGAACACTTTTATCCCTTTTCTCTATATGTTAGTAGTGAGTAAAAATGAATTCGTTTCTGGTTTCCCGGATGCTCTTTATCTGGTCAGTGGAACATCTAAGATAAAGGTTGACACCTTAGACCTTAACTTTCATGCCTGTTTCATGGATGGGAAACCTCTCACAGACTAAATTATAGACTCTCGATTTTTTTATAAATTGGTTTCTTCGGTTGCTATAGAATTAATTGGCACCTGACTTTCAGGTTTGGGCCTCATACCTTATTAAAGTGGAATCTCAATGTATCGACCTGATCTCTTGCAGATATCAGAAGTCAAATAATGGAAATTTCCCATCCCTCAATCTTACTCATAAGGAAGTTGGTGGTTCTTTTTACACAGTTCGGGAAATTGTTAGAGATATAATTCAAGAAAACAGAGTGTTGGGTCCATCTAAGCTGCCTTTACAAGAGCAGAATGTTGACAATCTTTTGCAGCACTATCCCTTAGGGTCAATCTCTGTTGATCCTGAACTATGCCTGTCTCCGTTGAACGATACAGAGATCACGTCTCATGTTACACAGGATCAAAATCAGGGTACTAGTGAAGAGCTTTCTGAAAGCTCTAATGTTCCTGTTCATCAAGCCAAGCACCAAACTTTAGACATTAGACAGCAAGATAGTGGTGCTATTGATCATGCTGACGATTGTACATCATTTGAGAAATCCAGCGACATTGAAGGAGCTTCTCCTATTGAAGGAACCATTGAGGTGCAGCAACGGAATTTGACTGGGCAATTGCTGACATCTGAAGCTCAGAAGTTTGACGATGACCTTGTTGGCAAAGGTACTGAGACAGCTGCTGAAGATGAAGTATCTTATGCTCCAGAGCTAGGTACTGTTGTATCTGTCCATGGAGAAAATAGTTTCGAAGGTATACATGAAAGTACTGAAGATCAAGCTCTACATTTAGATAGAGAAATTCCAGGAGATGGACTTCTGAGCTCTAAGCAACAAGCCATTGTCAATGGCACTACTCAGGTGGCAGAGAAAAACGACGTGAAAAAAAGTGAAAGGGTAGAACTAGAATCATCCAACACCGATAGAACTTTAGTGAAACCCGATATACAAGTGGAAAAATTCCCATTGCGTCCTGTTGCCAAGAATATTAATATCATGAATGAAGCATTGGAAGTACAACCAACTAAAGCACTGGAGGTGAATGGAAATGAAAAGGTCAGACTGCACGTTTCAAATGGTTCTTCTGTTTTGGGGAATCCAGAGGTAGGTGGACACGCGGCTAGTCGAATTGTTAAGGGAAGTGAAGGAGTGGACGAGGCATCCTACTTAAATTTCAAGGATCCATCATCAGAAAGTTCTCATTCTTCTCCAACCAAAGAATCTGCTGCATTTGCTATTAATAATGTTGCTGAGCTGGGAGCCAAGGGTTCTTCTTCTATTGAAACTAAGGTACTTTTAGCTCCAACTTAAACATAGCTAATTTGCAAGTGCCAATACGCTTGGAGTACCAAGCTTAGAGTAGCTTTTCCATTTTTGTTTGTTTTGTTTCTTTTTGTGGCTGGGAAGATTCTGTGGTTGTTCAGTAGATGATTGTTGTTCTTCTGAATCTCATGATATATGATGACCTTGGAGTATGCATTATCTGACTTTTTTCTCGCTCATGTCCCCCGTACTTTCTATTTAAGGGTTCCCGTATCTCAGTGGACATTTTATGATGATCTATAATAGAGATATTTTTCAAATTCACATGTGATGGGGATTCAATTGAAGGTGGCATATTGATCATAGGAATATTATCTGGACAGCATCGGCTTAGTAAAAGGGGATAAGCCTGTAAGACACAGTTTTCATAGTGACTTGAGCATTTACCTTTGACAGATGAAACTACCATTGGAAAGGAAGGCACTTGCAGCCATATTTGTAGCGTTTCGTCAACTGTTCCCATTTAGGCTAGGGCATGTTGGATTGCTGGTTTTTGAATTATTTAATTAAAGGTCATCGCTTTTTGTTGTGAAGGTTAAGAGCTGGTGTATACATTTCCATAATAATTGACTGGAGATTATCTCTTGCCCCATTCCCCTCCTCCAGAACATATACAATGCTTGCAGGTCATAATTAACCAGATCTGGGAGAAAGTTTGTTAGATGAACTTTAATTGCTGTTCTGTTTCACAGTTGTGGTTGAAGATATAAAATACAATTTCTAATCCCTTCCATTTCCTGTATTGTGTGTTGACAAGGTTAACTATCCTTATTTCTCAATTAACAAGCCCTTTTGTTGTCTGTGCTTGTTGGTTGTTTTGCTAAAATCTGGCCACTTCTAATCACTTGGATTCCAAATGATTTTTCCTGGCCTATTGAATTAATTTTTTGGTGGTGATGATATAAAGGTTGGAATCAGGCGTAGAATTATGTGTTATGCGATGAAGTTTCAAGATTTTTCTGTTACCTAGTTGGCATGGATATGATAGCCAATTATTTAAGAAATTGTGAAAGGAGGTTATTATTTGAAATGGAATGATATTGCAGTTCATTTCATCCTTTCTTTGAGGTTTTACTAATACTCTATTCACTCTGTAACAGCCAGCAAGCTCTTCAACGCCTTTCAGCGGAAATGTGAATGATATTGCTGACAAAAAATCAACTTCAAAGACAACTTCTGGCGTTAAATATAAACTGAATATTGAACACAAAAGCGGCTCTGAGGAAGGAATTGAATCAAGGTTTGAAAGAATCAACCAGTATGTATTCCTATCTCCTGTTACTTTTTCATGGAAACTTCCTGCCATAGTTTTTTAGCACAATTTGCATCCACCGCAAAGGAAATACCTACATCTCATTAAGTTAAATTTTACTTTGTGCAGTGAAAGACAGAAAGGGGCATCAGAGAAGCCTGCCTCATCTGAAATGAATCCACTTGTTGCCTTATTCAAGGCATTTATGGATGCTATTGTGAAATTCTTGAATGAATAGGGAATTTTGATTGCTTTATCAGTATAGTTATTAGAGAGAGTTAAGTTTATCTGCAGGGTATTGAGCATGTAGTACTAGAGAGTTTCCTGTTATCATAGTTGGAGTTGAGGCTGGATCCATGGTGGTGACTGAGGTCAAAACCACGACTCCGGAGAAGAGTTGAGAAGCTTACAAGATAGCTACTTTCTGAAGGAAAACAGAACAGGTGGACCAAAACCACAATCTCTGTATATTAGGATTCAACTTCTTTTGAGTTTTGTTGAGTAATTTTAAAGTTCTCATCGACTGTTTATCAGGCTGGGAGTTTTTTTCTTTTCTTATCATTGAGCAATAACACATGGGCTGTACTACCCTATCCTAGGATTGAAAACTGGAGATGATAAGATGAATTAAGCTTTGTGGATGAGTTTTTGATAGTTCACCAACCTATGCATGAATTAAGCTTTAAGTACTTCTCCTGTTCCAAAATGATTGTATTATTATTCGAAATATCAAATAGGACACAATCATTTTGGGACGAGAAGGGTATATGTCAAAATGGCATTAATTAGTCTTCGTGTTTGCAAGAGACAGGTTGGTGAATGAGACTTGCAGAAGTTGATGTATCGACTTCATAACTTTAAATTCGTCATTAAAGTCGTGTTCTTTTTCTTTTTCTTTTTCGAATATCGATTTCGTCATATGTCACTCATAATTGTTAGTTAGAGCTCAAACTAAATACATAAGAATAATTTCAATTTATTTATACATAAAAAATCATATGTAAATAAGCAAATGCCAAGTGATTTCCCTACATACAACTCTACATAGTTGATTACGATTTTGATTCAGAATCGAATTGGCTGTTCTGATAATTGATAAGATTAGCTGTTCTGAAATTGACATATAGCTTGGTGATACACTCTTATTTTGGGACGAAATAGTGAGTGTGTGACAAATAACTCATTTTGTGCATTAACCGTACCTGTAAAATAATAAAAATGTTCGTACAATGGTCAAAAATGGACTATTTTAAATTTAAAATACACGTTAAACAAAAAAAATAAAAAATAAATTTAAAATACACAAATCAAAATTTTTTAGTATATACTCTTTGCTTCAAGAAAATAAACACAAAATAAGTTTTTTTTTTTTGAGGAAAACACAAAATAAGTTATTTTTCTCCCTTACTACCGTCTCATTTTTTTTTTTTTTTGGGACAAACAGTACCAAACAATAGTTTCTAGTTGAACACTAACCAAAATTTGCATTCCTCGAAACTTAAAAATTGGGAAAGAAATTATAGTAATATAAAAATTAACACAGCATGAAAATTTGTTTCACGTGATACAATTTCGGGACCAGTAGAGTCCCCTATCTTATTATATATAGAGGCTAAAATATTGTCACTGTGAATTTAAACAAGGAATTTCTGGGATAAATATAAAATTAGGAGTTCAGCAGGGACATTAAAATGCACCTTTTTCCATATTGTTTCCGAGTTTTGTCTATTTTTACAATATCCAGAAAAGTAAGAGGCAGTGTTTTCTTCTTTTTACACCCCAGACCATGAAAATCACTGCATTCTTAATAATAACTTGAAATTTCACAATGTTAGTGCGAAATTTACAAAAAACATTTGTGCGGGACAAAAAAAAAGTGATGAATTTTTGTCACTGAAAAATTTTCATAGTAGAAGCACAAATTAATGATACCTCTTACTATATTAGAAGCAAAAACCACACTTAAGAGAAAGCATCATCATTTGTCATGTGACATTTCCACATCATATTTTTAAAATAAATTTTTATTACCACATCTCCTAAATTTAAAAGTCAAATGTAGTCTAAATTCACTTCCACCTCCTATTTTCGTCCAAAAAAAAAAAAAACCACGGGTTCATAAAAAATCCAAATCCCCATCCCCATCTCCACGACAATCGACTCCTTAACCAATCCCTTCTCCACAATTAAAAAAAAAAAACAAATTCCTCATCAATCATCAATTGAGAATATGTGGTGAAATATACTCCTTTCCTATTAGCATATTCAATTTTTTCATTAGTGATGATCAACTACATCTTAATCGGATAAAATTTCGGCGGGTTGTGGTGGTGCCATTGCACGTATTAAAATTTAAATGATTTTATTTTCACAGATCATTGGTTTGGCTTTTATTATTTTTTATTTTTCCCGTTCAAGAATAATGTTATTACTATTATTTTTATGTGTCCATCCGTTACAGCTACCATAGTCGTTGTCAGGTAGTATAATGTGATTTCTTATTTGGTTAGTTAGCCTAGAATTTTTGTATGATTTTAGTTATGTTTGGATTGAATTGATTGATTGGGTTTTTGTTACAAAGTGTGGTTTTTTAAATTTATTTTTTATGTTTCATTCAATTAGAGTGGTTTTCTTTTTTTAATTATGGAGTCTCAGGTTTTTTTTCGTATATGGTAAATTATGAAGTGTGTTTTTTCTTTGTTTAATTGTTTTTTATTTTGTTTCATACTCCCAGTTGACCAATTATTATTCTTATTATTATTATTTTATTCGCAAATGAAGCACGTTTCCTTTTTTGTGTTCGGGATTTCAAGAATATACTTTTTTGGATTTGGTTTTTAGACTTTTTTTAGTTCCTCATCATATAAATAGTTCATGTCGCTTCTTTTAACTAATTTATGGGGAATTCTTTTATGAATTTGAGGTCGAGAGGGAAGGAATGATGTTTCTACATTTATTTGTGTTTTTATACATCATTTTTACCTACAGAAAAAAATAAAAATTCTCAAATTTTAATGGGCTATCTTTTACTTTTTTTTTTTATTTGCCATCGTGAGGTGAGTTCTTTTTTGCTATATCTTGAAACCTATACAAATTTATATTATTTCATGATCATATTTGTGATCAATCAGTTTCAACAATTAACCAGTTTCAAAATCATATTTTTGATATTTTACTACCTATAAACTTTTGGAAGAAATAGTTCTAACAATTAAGCGTATACCCTTTGGAAGAAGCTAACTACAAAACTATTATAAATCTCCAAAACTAACTATTGATTTGGCATAACCAATAGAAAAAATCAATAAATTATCTCACTAATATTTAAACTTATTAGGATGTTTTTATATTTTGTCTAGCATTTACTTCAAGACATATATTTGATCAAGTTTATTTATATTTAAGAAGTAATACTTATAAAATATTTCTAAAATCTTTACACATTTCTAAAGCGTACCGGACTAAATACAATTTATTTTTTTGCCAAATACAAACATCACACTTATAAAACATTTCTAAAATTCTTCAAATATTTCTAAAATATATCGGGCCAAATACAAAATATTTTTTTTTCAGATACAAACATTTCTAAGATGCACAGATTTATTGGGTCAGGTCCGTCACTTAATTTATGTATGTATTTTCTCTGTCCTAAAACTATTGTTCAATTTAAAATTTCACTTTTTGTACATTTTAACTAAAAATAAAAATTCAAACTGGACAATAATTTCGAGACCAAGAAAGCACTTTCATTGTTTTAAAATGATTGTTCAATCTTGATTTTTTTTTTCCCGTCCTAAAACGGCACTATTATTTATATTTTCATTTTTAGTAATCTAAACGTTAGGTACGACTACGATCCCTAGCTTGGAACTCAGTCAAAGAACAATTGAGATGTCTTCCTACTTTTCTTGCTTTCTTTAGTGTGCCCAGAGACCCCGGACGTCTCGGGTCTCCTACATTGCTGATTAATTGCTGGAACAAATGTATATTTATGCTACCAATTTTTTTTTATTTTATTTTTTTCCTCTTTGTTGATGGATGGCGGTTTTGTGATTGGCTCCAAAGATTGTGTTGCACAAAAGGGGTACTACATAAATATATTAATATGAAAAAGAAAGAGAGTAAAAGGTTGTTAAGCAATCTCGAAGCAAAGAATAACTAAAGGATAGTGTGATTTTGTGGCCTTTTTTATTTATATTAATTAATATTCCCCGTCATATTGGAACCTATGAGGATCATCATCATTTTATAACACACTAAAAGTTGTCTCCCCTTTACTACTGAATAATCTATTAGTTGTGTATATAATTTCCCAGATATTCCTTCAGAATAAAACCACTACTTCCTTTTTTACTATCATAAGAACTACATTTTGTGTTTCCTGCAAACTATTCTTTTGTAAAGCACCTCTCTTATACTATATGATAAAAAAATCATTTGCATCTCTACTTGAGTATCCTATCAGAGTGAAGATGATAAATTCATATTATTCGCAGGAAAATCACTATTGATCTCTTTAAAAAAAAAGAAAAAAATTCAATCATTCGAACATTTTTTGAAATAATTCAGATCACTCGATTAACCATTCATTCCTGATTCCGAAATCAGTTTAAAGGCAAACTAAATTTGATACATGCAATCAGTATGTACTAGTTTTTCCGTCCCGAAATTATTTAGTTTCGATTTTCATTTATAGTTCAAATCGTACTAAAATTGAAAATACAAAGTAGATAATAATATTGGGACGGAGAAGTATAACCCATTTTTATCTGTGTACTACTTAACATTCTTATAGTCTAGAAAACATTTTACTATTTTCTTTAAAATTTCAGAAAAATAGTTTATTATGTTGAATTAAAAGAGTACATAAAATAAACTATTTTGTTAGGTTGAGAGGGTTAATTTGACAGCAGGAAATGAGTAAGAGTGACGCACAAAATCGACTGATAATTTAACTAACTTGGAAGAAGAAGAAGAAGGAAGTATTTACTGGGATCGAGGTGGATTCACATTAATTTTTGGGAACAATCATTGTCGCATGGTGACGTGCCAACAATTGTGGGTAGCATGGAATTCACCCAACTCATTATTACTCCTTTTGCCAACAAACGCTTTAAAAATTCCCAATGGGGCAAACAAAATTAGAAAAAAGAAAAAGAAATGGATATTGTAATGGTGATCGATGAGTTAGGAGTGGTGGCCAACACGAATGATGCATGTCCATCAAGTAAAATTTTTAGCATGCAAGAGGCTACAAACAATAAGGTCAAAAGCCAAATCATCTGAATTAAATTATATTGTCAAGAAGTGTCAAACACTTTTTCTTGAAAAAAAATAATCCCTCCGTCCCAAAATTATTATCTAGTTTGAGATTTCACTTTTTAGTACAATTTGAACTAAAAATGAAAACTCAAACTGGACAATAATTATAGGACGGAGGAAGTAAGATAAAACTACACAAATTATATTCATGACGAGTTTCGTGTTTCAGAAGCGATTTAAGTCCCGTTTTGGTATTGAAGTGTCGGTGTCATTTTTAGAAAATAATCATAATACACCGCTAGAGGTTATAATCTCGTATAATGTATTACTTTTTATGTCACAATATGATTGTCTTGTTTGTTGCATTAGAAAGATAATTTTTGGGACGAATGGTGTGTATGAATTTTGGAATGAATTTTTTCAAGTGTATTACAACAAGCGACAATGACACCCCAAGATGTATGTGCAGTTTGTTGGTATTAGGCTTTTGATAATATTGAGTCCATGTGGGGGATCAAAAAATTCAACCCCCAAAAAAAAAAAAAAAAAAAAATGGCCAAAAAATGAAGAGAAAGGGTGGAAAAACAAAAGAAAACCCATGAGATAAGATATGAAG